TTCGTTTCTTTCCTGGGGCCTGTCCTGGCCTCTCTCAAAGAATCTTCCTCTCTGCTGCATTTTGTTTTTCCCTGACACCTCTTCCTGGCAAAATTCTCTGTTTTTTCTGAAGTATCTTAGCCATTATCCAGAAAAAATTCCCTTTAAAACATTTGAAGCTTCCAGATCCTGTCATGTGAAAAATGTACACAGATATCAGAGACATTTGCCCCTTACAGTTCTCTCAGTGGTGAATTTTAATTGGAAAGGGGATACTGCAAATCATTCAAATTAAAAATAGAATGTGATTGACCATCATAAGGAAGCTGGCCTTTGAAAAATCTCTGCTCAAATATCACATCTGGAAGCTTCCTACAGGCATTGCTGGGCTCTGAAATTGCTCTTTCAATAGTTTCAGAACTCATGGAAAAATGATATGATCCCTCGTTAGTCTTTTATTGCGATGAGGCATAGACATAAAGTATATCCAGTCAAGAATTAGAGCATTAGGGATTCAACACATATTTTAATATTTTATTTATTTAGTTGGCGTCTCACTCTGTTGCCTAGACTGGAGTGCAGTGGCATGCTCACAGCCACCACAGTCTCAATCTGCTGGGCTCAGGCAACCCGTCTGCCTCAGCCTTCCAAGTAGCTGGAATTACAGGCTTGCACCACCATGCTGTCTAATTTTTTGATTTATTGTAGAGACGAGGTCTTGCCAAGTTGCCTATGCAGGTCTCAAACCCCTGGGCTCAGTCAGTCCTCTGGCCTCGGCCTTCCAAAGTGCTGGGATTACAGGCTGAGCCACTGCGCATGACCTGAACTTTTTAAAACAATTTCATAAAAGGACTTACCTTCCTTTTCTTTACTAAAAAGTCACTTCCTCAATTCTAAATTTACTATATATAAGAGTCCTGCCATTCAAAGTCCATTTTAATACCTTGATAATTCAGATAACCTCGCCTATATCAACAGTCTTTGCAAAAAGTAAGAGGGAAGGGGAAGAATTGGAATATATAGCAAGGCAGGTTTGTCTCTTAGATTAGTGCCTGAATTTTGTTAGTGATACACTTCGAAAGGGTGTGATGGATATGCTATCACCTACCTCTTAACAAATTCTGCTTGCAACTGAAGCACCTTGTCAAGGTATAAAAGGCCCTGGGGACAGATTTTTAATGAGTACTAAGTAGGCTGCAGTAGGAAGAAAAGGAAAGTTCTTAATAACCATTTAAATGGTCATTACCATGCAGGGTATTACCATGCATGTTGAGTTTAGCATACTAACCATAGCCTCTTGAACAAAGTTAAAAAAAATCACATTAAAAAAGATCAAGAAAGCATCATTATGAAAAATGAATAGGGTCCCAAGTTATTAATGTTTTATTTAACTTCAAAGTCCTACTGAAAATTGCCTGGAACTTCTGCCTCCTATTTCCAGTTTCCTTTTTCTCCTTGGATGATTTGAAACAGAACAAAGGACTAGTCTGCCTTTCTAAGGACTCCAGGAGAAATCCAATCAGAGCATGTTTACTATAGGAAAAAAAAAATTAAATAACTAACAGATGTCATTGATATATTCAAAGTTGATTTCTCTGACCAGGGAAATGATGAACAGAGAGGAGCACATTGATCTAATTTCAGAGTTTTTCCCACGTGTTCATCTTTGTGTTCTTTTTTTTTTTTTGAGTTGGAGTCTCACACCGTCATCCAGGCTGGAGTATGCTCAGGCCACCACAGCCTCAACCTGCTGGACTCAGATGATCGCTTCTGTCTCAGCCTTCCAAGTAGCTGGAACCACAGGTGTGCGCTACCATGCCTGGCTAATTTTTTGATTTATTGTGGAGATGAGGTCTTGACAAGTTGCCTAGGCTGGTCTCAAACCTGTGGGCTCAGGCAATCCTCTCACCTCTTGGCCTCCCAAAGTGCTGGGATTATAGGCATGAGCCACCACGTCTGGCCTCATCTTTGTATTTTTTTTTTTTTTTTGAGTTGGAATTTCACTCTGTCATCCAGACTGGAGTGCAGTGGCCACTCCCGGCCACTGCAGCCTCGACCTGCTGGGCTGCAGCGATCCTTCCGCCTCA